GACATGAAAATGTTTGAAGAAGAAGAGTACTCTTGTTGGTGCTTTCTCCACGACAATTCTTGCTCTGGTTATGATTCCAAACTGGCCTAGACCCCCTAAAACTGCAAAAAACAGCTCCGAATTTGTCTGCTTGGAACAAGTGACAAGTTGCCCTTTACCTGAAATAAAACAAGAAACAAGATATTGAACATGATGCATGTTTAAGTAATATACCTCTATGATTTATGTTGATGATACTAATTATATATTGTTTGTTTCGTCTTCTTGAGCCAAGGTATATCGAAAGCTGTCTCTTTATCTCCTCGGGGTAGGGGTAAGGTCTGCGTACGCTCTACCTTCGTCAAACCCCACTTATGGAATTTTGTTGGGTTGTTATTGTTGTGTAAATAATTTTTACACCATCAAGACAACCTAAAAATATTATTTGGCTGACCTAATAGTGCAAAAAATTCTTTATATATACTTCCCTTATATATATAACCTAAACTCACATAACAACATAACATTATAATACGGTAGTACATTATTTTTTCTACCTACAAGATCTTCCGGGGAGAAAAGAACTGGGATTTCTCTGAAGCGTCACATCTGATCAATGGATGCTACACACATCTTTTACAAGGAAAAAAAATAAAAACCGATAACTGCATTTTGAATATATATATACGATACGCCCTAAATATGAAAGTGGAAATTACCCAAAACATATAATGTAAAAGGAAATAGATAATTTTAAAAGAAAAGAATATTGATACAAGTTATGTCACAATATTACTATTTGGGAAATCAAATATTTTTTTCTTTAAATTATTAATTATTTTAACTTATACTAAAACTAGATTTTTCGATTTACTTGTGCATTGCAGAAAATCAAGAGAAAATTAATTATTTTTCTAAATTTATATATCATTATCATTTAGTAACTATTTTCAAGACTTATTGGAGTACTAGTAGTCAAATTTAGATTTTCAAAGAATAGTATAATTACCATTAATAAGGGTAATTTACTAAAATAAATACTTGTTAATATTTTTCTTAAGGGTATTGCATTATAATATATACTGAACAAGTAAAAGGAAATATAGAAGAGAATGATACTTTTCACATAAGTTATAAATATGTAAATAAAAAACTTGAAGAATCAATTCCTAAATTCACACAAATAATTACTAGGTGTTTTGACTCTCATATTTGGAAACCAACAATAACAACAACAACCTAAAGTAAAATTTCATAAGTGCGGATTGGGGAGGGTAGAGGGTACGAAGTCCTTACCCTTAGTCCAGAGGAATAGAGAGGCTGTTTCCGAAAGACTCTCGACTCAAGAAGAAGAAAATAAATAATAGACAATTGGTCGGTGACAGCAACAGAAGCCAGAAAAATAATATCAGCATCGTAAGAAAGGAAAACAAATGGAAAATCAATAACAATAACTAATAATAATGCCATAAAAAATAGTGTGGAAACTACATAAACAGTGTGGAAACTACATGAACCACTAACGACCCAAGGCAAAACATTAGCAGCCTAACCTCGCCCCCAGCACAACGTAGGAAAACGCTCGACTCCCTCCTAACCTACAACCCTAATGCTCGACCTCTACACCTAATTCCTATCAAGAGCCCTTAACTATTTCATTATCTCGATGTAATTACTGCCTCTATATATATTTACCTGTGATAACATCCATTTCAAGAACATTGCTAATCTGAGGACCGTATTTGAAAGTTTGGCCACTAATTCCAGCATTAGAGAGAGTTCCTCCAACAGAGAGATACAAATAATCAGTCCAAGAGACAGGTGCAAGTCCATGCTCTAAAGTGGCATGCAAAACATCAATCCAAAGCTGCTCACCTCCCACATCTGCATAATAAAACCCTAAACAACTCTCCCATAAAACCCTAATTTTTCCATTGTTATTATTCTTCAAAGAACTCATGACCACCACAACCCCATTTGGCGACATGGCTTGTCCCCTCACTGAATGGCCATGTCCTCTCGCCGCGACACCAAAAGGGACAGAAATGGCGCCATTGTTGGAGTAGTTAATGAGCTTAATAATGTCATGTATGGAGGAAGGGTAAAGAACTGCAGCTGGGATTTTTTGAACAAGTTTTCCAAAATCAGTGGAAGTTGCTATAGTGGCATCTGAAATATTTACACTAAGTCTTGTTGCAATATCAAGGTGGAAAAGAACTTCATATGGAATTGAAGGTTTACCTATGATGGACACTAAAGGGCTAATGGTGAAGAAAATAATTAAGTAACCTAGGGAATAAAGTTTAGCCATTTCTATTAATTAGACTATAAGAGAAGGCCGGGGAAAAGGAGAAGTAAAGAGGAAGAAAGAGAACAATAATAAGTTGGTGGTTGTGAAGCTAGCTAGGAACATATATATGTATATATATA